TCTATCGGATTCGAACCGTTTTGCAATAGCAATTGTTTTTGGGCCAAAAAAAGTCAGTATACCAAATTTCATGACGGGCAGACAAGCTTAGATAAAAGGTGGATCTAGCTCAAGTCGTTCCTAGTGTTACGAACGTTCGCACAAACTTAGCATACCCTTTATCGCACGTGGTGTAGAGTATAAATAGCAATCAGGTTTCATAGTTGTATATGCATTTTTATTCTCATCCCCATATATCCCTATATATGCACATATAGGCATGTGTTGTTTATGCGAACATATGCGGCATCAAATAAATGTTTTCCGTTTCTTTTCTTTTAATTTGTACCAAAAGCAAAATAGTAAGAGATATCAACGTGAATCTCTGGCATGCAATCACTATATAAAAAATGATTTCAGGTAAATGACCCTATCTAGAGACTTCTGGAAAAATTCATTACTTGGATTATCAATTTTTGCCATTGTTTCATAGAAATCTTCTCCTATAAGGCGAATAATCTTAACGAATAAGCTCGATGAAGATTTGTGGCTATAGTAAAACATCCAACACAGCTAGTTGGTCAATGAATTGATTTTGCCGATAAATATGGCATGATGCACCATTTTGAAGCCGAATACGCTCTAAGTCGATATCATTGCAAAGCCATTTTCACATTCAAAATCCATATTTTCCGCCTCCATATCACACTCAAAAGCTACTTTTGTATACGTAAAAGCCTTTTAAAAGCACCGGACGGACCAATAATCGTTATCCAACACAAAGTCATTTTGTAATCCACAGATAATGACATGATTCAAATCTCAATCAGAAGACTTGCTTTCGGAACCACAAAATGTTTATCCTTGTTTAGATGCTCTACGATTAAAGAATTAAAAATAAATCAAATCAAAAATAGGGTCAAAAACTATTATATATAATGTATGTAATTATGTATACATAAATACCGTTTCAAGAGGCTTTAGAAGCTTTCTTTTAAGTTTTTACGAAATTTTTCTTAAATATCATACCACGAGTGAGTGCTTGAGATTCGTCCATAACTCATGACACATTTTGCATTGAAAATTTTCGATGTTTTCTCATTTGCTTTTATTATGTAGATTACTTGTTGCGGATAGGTGAAAAGACGAGCCTCCTGGCTATAAACTTAAGAATTGATTGATTTTTGAACTTTTACAGGTTTGTAATGAATACACGAATGCGCTGAGCCATACATAAGGGCTTGTATGTAATAAGTAAAAAAGTACTGTACGCCTTAGAGAGTGAATTTTTGATATCAACTAACCTCTCAAACTAATACTTTAGATTAGGACGACATTTGTAGTGGCAACATCTCAGTCGATCGATTGGAAAAGTTTGTACGCCGAAATCATTCACTTAACCGTTGAATAATATTTGCGCGGTAGATGTTAGATCAATGTCACTTCCGGACACTCATTTGCCGTTCTTTGTCTACTATTAACGTTTTGGCTAGCAAATGATGGCCATTTTTTCACTGTAACTGCTATAGCGATCTATTTTCTGGGTATAAAAATTTCCTGGCGCCGCATTCATTGAAGATGCGTCAATTTGCAGACAACTTTCCATTTATCATTCAGCCATCACATACAATCTTTCCACTTAAATTAATTAATGGGCTATAACCAGCAACAAGCAAAGATGGGAGGGGCGCGGATGGTTAAATCGACTAGAAATCGTATATAGTAGATTAGAATCGTGTGCAGAATAGCATCGCATATAGAATCGATTAGAAATCGTACACGAGTTATGGATTCTCTATTGCAAATGTAATAGTAAACCTAGTAAATTGCAGTCTTTAGGTGGCTTGTTCGAAGCCTTTTCTTCAGTTTGACTTTTATTGTTGGCTGTAAATAATTTTCTTGTTCTCGATCTTTCTCTCTGTCTAGCTCTTGTTTCTGACGCATACGAAAAAAATATGATTCGAAAGGTAAGAATTTTGAAGCCCTTTTCATCAGTATGTCGGAAAAGTAATAACTCACCTTGGCTGTAGCAGAAAAAAAAGTTATACCATTTTCTATCAGAGAATATTGCAAAAAAAAAAAAAGTGTTTTTCTCTTGTTCTTCACAAATAGTTCCTTTATTGAAGGGAAAATATTTGAAGGAAAAATATACGAAATTATCCATAACAATTTTAAAATTGTAAACAAGAAATTTATACATAAATATTAACATCTTTCTGCAGTTTTTCCTATATATTTCTCCGAAGTCGCCCTGAAGAAAACAAATACTCCTTAAAACGAAATCATAAGTACCTGCCGTAAATAATATTGAAGAATTATGGAGTTATGAGTATCAGCTCATCCTGTCTTTTGATATAGTTATACTATATGAATGCATTATATCTCGAGTTGCATGGAATAAACTGAAATTTTCTCGGTTCGCTTTCCAGTCGTTTCACCATTTAAGAATCTTGTGGGCCAATTTTTAATCACTTTATGACCATTTTTAAACTTGCTCAATCTCATCTTTCTAGCATAATGTGAAAAACCCAAAATAAACAGATAAAATTTTAAATCAATACTGAATTTCATTAATCAGGAGTATGCGCGCTTTAGAGAATAAGCGTATATATGTTCTCAATAATTTGCAAATATGCCAACCATGCGAGAATAAGTGTCCACACATTTGTTTACACTTTTCAATTATTGAAAAGGATGGTGAGAGTTCATTTCTAAACTATCTGAATCATTTGCTTCTAAAATTTGTTAATAAATTAATCACAGATTTTAAGATAATTTTCAAAAGTAAGACAGAAGACCCTCCCTTTTATGTCTATGGTCGGCACCCTTTCCTTGTTTTTTTTTCTTATTTTATTTATTATTGTTATAATATTTACACTCGACACCACTTGTACGACATATTAAGTTTGGCCGGATGTTTCAAACACCCAGAAGCAGTTGACCGTTATACCGATTAATTCAGATGCTAATTATGAACTACTCTGTCCGGCTGCCTGCCTTGTTTTCTCGTGTTCAGCCGACCTACCGGCAATTTTTGGGAGATTTTCATGAAATTTTTTATAACTGCACGTTTTAGCCCGAGAACAAGCGCTCCTACAAATGTCTCGCATCGTACCACTTTTTCGACCACTTACCGTTAACTGCGTTGTTTTTAAAAGTCCTTATATGAACTTGTAAGGTGGTATAGGGCATTTTATCCGTCCGTCTCGTCCCGACGGCCCCGGTCTCGAACCAATCTACTATTTTTCCACTTTACGACATGCCGTCCTTGGGACTTACGCCTTACTACACCGCTTTGGGTGATATCTTACTGTACGTAGCCGAAACCACGCTTCCCGAAAGGCCATACCACACACTATCCTTTCTTCAAAACCTTTTCAAATATTTCCCATAAAATTGGAAAAATCGTATTTGACATTGACATGCATGCGCATAAATCCTAATCAAAATTACATAAATTTTAATCCAGCAACACTCCCACACAATTTAAAATAGGAAAAAACCGCTTCCCAAAGCTAGTATACATTCTTATTTTACTTTCCTTTTATAAGATAAAAAATTTCATTCATTATCGCTTCGATCTTTTAATTGGAAAACTTTTACAAATTCAAACGAATGATAAATTTATTCATTCATAAATTACAATATGGAAAACACGTGACAAGCGTATGCAAATATTAAACATATCACTGTTCCATTATTTATCTTAAATGTTCCTTCTTTCGATTCCATCTAATCAATTCATTTAAATGTTCATTAAATACCTAACATAGCATGCAGGCATTCTATGTTTAATATAATTAATTCGTACTATGGTGTATCGAAACCGTGTTCAACAAAGCACCTCCTGTATGTGTTACACAGGCTAAGTCTTTGGAAAGCATAAAGATACGCATTGACTTTTTTCATCTTGAAAAGAACATTTTTTCCTACTCAGCTGATCATACGAAAATGAAATTATAACTAAGTGTATTATACTTTTTTAAATAAATAGAAAGATCAGATTTAAACTAAGAATATGTCGTTAGAAATAAGTTCTCGTTACGCAGCACGCACCCAAATGTCAAAATATGACTTAATTGTACGTTTTTATATGAAGTTGAGCATATAGTTTCATGCATTTGCATTGATAAACTAACAAACTAGAAGGTGTGAGGTTGATGTACTTATGAAAACAAAAGAAAATTATACTGTTCACATATCAAGCGCCATTTGGTGTATGTATATTTTTAATTTTATTAAAATTAACGCTAGACAAACTAATTTCTAGACCTATTTATTAATTGTAATAAAGATTATCTTGCACTTTTTTTTTCTTATAAATCTTATAAATTTACTCATACTCTTGTTCTCTTAATTGTCAATGGATTCATAATGTTTTTTAGAAAATTAAAATTAATTCTTTTTTTTTATTTATAGTTTATGTTAATACAAGGTACGTATGAAGAAAGCTAAGTTCGATTTTCGAGTTTTTTGCTTTACGTATGCACAATAGCTGCGACGTACCTGCTGTCAACTCAAGTGAAAGCTAAAAGCTCACATTTTTCTTTAGCATTGGTTGCTCATAATTAGTACTGGCTGTTCAGTGTTGCATTTGTAGGAAAAATCATGGTAAATGGAAAACGAAATACAAAATAAATAAAATTAATAATACTTAAATAAACAGAGCCGATAGCCTGCGTTGCTAGTGCTCAATGTCTTTTTTTTTTTAATCTTAAAATTTATTTCATTAGTCTAAAATTATAATAATAATAATAATAATAACACTTAAATAAACAGCTAAAACAAAACAAAAAATTTTAATTTTAAAAAGAAAAAATTTGTTCAAAAATACCAAGATCTTCTTGTAAAGCAATTGGGAGCGAAGCATTATTTTAGAATTTTACACAAAACTGTTCTAATTTGCAATTCACGTTTCTTATTGGGAGAGAGAAGTGCCATTTGTCACTTTTTGCTTTATCAGTCGATGATATTGTTAGCTCTTTCTTCTACCTCTATTTTACTCTTTCTTTCGGTTTATTATTGAAATTTCTTTTCATAAATTTCACAATTTAGTTTCCTTTATTCACAACAAGAGTTTGCAATTTCATCAAAAATTCAATAATTTAAAGTTTAATACGTCGTTTCATAGTTTCATTCAATTTTGATTTACTTAATCAAGACAATAGAATGTCAGGCAGCAGTAATGCTACTCCATGGGGGAAAATCACTAAACCACCAACAGAATCAATGAATTTTGCAGCTATAGTGCAGCAAGAAAAACAAATGAAGTTGGCAAATGAACGGGAAAGACAAAAATTAACTGAAGAGCAAAGCGTTGAGGAAGCCAGAAAACAGGAACAGTTGGATGAATTGCATAATAATATCTCAAGAGGAGATTTTGAGGCCAATTTGCCACCCGAAGTTTTAGACTTTCTTAAATTAGAAGAAGAAGAGTTGGCTATAACAGAGGCAACTGGCTTGATAGATTGTGAATCGGATGCGGTAATAGCACAAATGTTACAAGCCCAATTTGACCGTGAATACAATGACGATTTAAACCGAATTGAAAAGGCTAAGAATAAACAATCCAAAATAACGCTGTCCTTGGAAAAATACAGAAAACCCTATTTACGCGACGTAGGAGAGGAGCTAGAAGATGATTTCGCAGAAAGACACGAATTTTTGAAAGAGAAACGTGATTGGGACAGATTTGAGTCGAATGAACGATTGCTGGAAGCCATTCCTAAATGCGGCTACACTTTGGACGACGAAGGAGAAATGATCACTAAACACGACGCTAATTTGTGTGGAGTGCGTAATGCCTGTCGTATGATGTCTTTCCCTTTGGAAGTGGCTACCGGGGATGGTGCAGGTTTCGACATGAAATTGTCCAATAGCGTACGTGTTATATGAACATCAATAGAAAGACTTTTATGTATATTTTCGTCTGCAGGTCTTTAATCAATTGAAAACTCATGCTCGTAAAGGCCATAAAAAAAACCGAATGCAAGATCGCAAGGATAATGTGGCTACTGCAGAAAAAGGTGTTGATGGTCGTACACGTTTGCTTTTATATAAGCTAATTAATAATCAAGTTTTGGAACAAATTGATGGCATTATATCCACTGGCAAAGAAGCTGTTATTTTGCATGCTTATTCCAATCCAATCTTTGCGGGCTGTGATCCGAAATTACCAAAAATTGTGCCAAAAGAATGCGCTGTTAAAATTTTTAAAACAACACTTAATGATTTTAAACAACGCGATCGTTACATCAAGGACGATTATCGCTTCAAGGATCGTTTCAATGTGCGTTTTAGCAAACAAAATAATTTCATCATTATAAATATGTGGGCTGAGAAGGAAATGTTTAATTTGATGCGTATCAAGAATGTGGGCATAAATTGCCCCGATGTGGTTATATTAAAAAAACATGTACTGGTCATGTCATTTATCGGGGATCAAAATAGGGCAGCTCCGAAACTAAAAGACGCTTCACTTAGTTACAGCGAGTGGTGTGTAGCTTATGATGAGGTTGTTGAGGCCATGCATAAACTCTTCAATGAGGCCAAGTTAGTGCACGGTGATTTGAGTGAATACAATATTTTATGGCATAACGGCAAGTGTTGGTTTATTGATGTGGCTCAATCCGTCGAGCCCCACCATCCCAATGCTTTAGAATTTTTGATGAGAGATTGCAACAATATTATAACGGTACTTCCATTAAATTTGTATAAAAATCAAGATTTAATAATAAATTTCCGCCATCTTGTAGTTTTTTGCGAGAAAAGGTGTACACAACCACTCCAAAGAACAATTATTTGAATATATCACTTCATTAAGTGCTGAAAATCTTAACGTTGCTCTCTTGGAACGAATGCACACTAAAGGCGCCAATGTATGTTTGGCTACGGCTCCAAATCGGGACGAGTGCCCTTTGGAACGGGAACCGTTGGAATACCCGTTCGACTTAGTCTGGGAAAATACAGTTCAAAGCAAGCTGGAAATTCGGGTTATTGACCAAGCCGCCAACGTTCTAAATGTTATACAACCGGCGGATTGTCGTATTCAAGCATCATTAAATGAAGTTTTTAATGAGTCGTCTGTTACTGCTTCTGCAGTTAATACCCTATCTAACACTGCCAACATTTAAATGTTTTTGAGGATTTTGGAAAATAAAATTGTAGAAACACTTTTTATATATAAAAAGAAATACAAAAACACACACACAATTTTCACTTAATATTTTAATTAATTAACTCTTTCGGTGGCGGATTAAAGGGTATCTTTCCTGGCAGAAAACTGTCTGCCTTAAAAGCTTCAATTTCTTCAGCTGTCAAGTCCTCTAAACGACTATATACAGAAGTTCCTAGCGGCTGTGATGGCATTTGAGGTTCTGATGTTACAATTTGTTGGAAGGGACCTTGTGTTTGCTGTTGTTGTTGTTGTTGTTGTTGATGTGATATGTTTGCGCTCTGCATAAAAGGGGCAATGTTTTGCACGGGTTGCTGCTGTTGAATAGTTTGTCCAAAAATGTTTGGTTGGGTGAAACCTGCTTGCCCTGCAATAGGCTGCATTGGTTGTTGTTGCACTGCTTGAGTGAATAAGTTTTGACTACCATTAGATTGCGAAGCAAATAAACTTTGTCCAGACTGATTGGCTGCTTGCGTAAATGGGTTCGTATTTTGATGTTGCGGTGCCAGGGTTTGACCAAAAACGCTTGCCGTTGCCTGCGATGGTTGGGTTTGATTAAAAAAGCTAGAGCTTTGTACTGATTGTTGAGCTGTCTGTCCAAAAAGACCAAATGCTGAATTGGACTGCTGCGTTTGCTGCTGATTAAAAACATTACCACCTCCTGCGAGTGGTTGAGCTTGACTAAACATAGACCCTTGATTTTGGTTGCTAGCATTTCCGCCTCCAAATATCGAATTCGTAGACTTGTTCGATTGGCCAAATATGGAAGTCTGTGTCTGACCGCCAAAAATATTGTTCCCCGTTGATAGATTTGTAGCAGTACCTCCGAAGATGCTACCATTCGTATTGGAAGCTGCGAAAGCATTGGTTGCATTAGCACCACCAGCAGTGCTAAACATGCTACTGGGTCCTAATACTGGTTTAGCAAACAATGAACTAGTATTTACTGCTCCAACATTTCCACCTAAGCCAAAAGGATTATTCGATTTTGTCGCAATAGTCTCCACAGCAACATCGTAAACTTTACAAATCACATTAACTATTTCTGGAGTAAATTGAAGTAAAGCCTTCATTTTCGAATTAACATCCATAGCTTCTTTTAAAAATTGTTGATGAAACTGTTCAAAGTAATTTTTTTGTTTAGCTTCGTAGCACATCAAGCGTATTTCTTCAAATGATTGATCCTCAATGAAATTAGGTAAACATGGTTTGTCCTTAAAAGGACCATAACAAGAAAATGGCCACTGTTTGCCGTTTATAGCTCCATCCACATCGGTCTTGACTACTTGCTTTACATCGAAGTGTTCATTGTGACATTTAGAACCGAAGCGACAGGCTCCTTGCTGATAAAATTTACATAGCACCATTACTTTTTTGTTAAAAGCGATAAAAATTTTATAATTCAGGCATCGCAAAAAAATCTCCGAAAACTGCTCTTAAAATCTTCTTCTGCTTTTGCATAGTTTGTTTATTGTTTGTTTTTTCGACACCACCAGCGATTGAGAAATATCAGTGAAGTTATCAAGAAACGCGATAATGTTCATAAGCCAAGAATGCCACGAATGAAAAATTTACTTCGTTCCACCTCTGTTTCTTGTAAACATCACATGAAAATCGAAATCGCTTTTGTATGGGTAAAACTGCATGAATATATCGAAATGTGGGATGGATCAAAGAATCTTTAAGAAATAAACGCATAAAGTTAGCTGACAGAAGATTCATGGCGCATTAACTATATTTTAGAAAAAAAATTTTAAATTCGATCCACAGATTGCGATATATCAAACAATATGCATAACACATACGTGCATAATGCAATAATCAAAGAGCGTTCACTGTGAAATTTTCCCTAAAGCAATTACGAAACTAATATTAGGTGTAGTTTTAAGGCGAATTGTTTCTTGTAAAACAAGGAAAAGATATACATTCATCCAATAACGACATGAAGAAGAGGATTAAAGGTATTGTTGCGCTTATTTTAAATTCATCTTAGATACTATTTACAATGATTATCATCACAAGAGTTCGCCAATATCTCTACGAGGTCAAACCAATGTATTAAGATTGAGGAGGTATTATATACTGGGCCAAGAAATTGAATTAATTTTGTTTCTAAATCAAATTTAATGCATCGTTCCACTCTATGTTTGAATTATTTCTGTTATAGTAATTAATTCAGCCAGAGAAATAAATTTTTAGACTAAAGCGTTAAAACAGTGGCATCTAAGACTGTCGGCTAATATTGTATTGAAACTATTTATTTATTTAGAAATCATAGTTTAATTTTTTTACAGTAACAATGCCGCCATTATTTCCATCTCATTTACTTCCTTACTAGGTGGACTGTAAAAATAAAATGCAATGCATTTTTACCAATAATCATGAATGAAAAAAACAAAAAAAACAATTTTTTTCCCTTTCAAAAACATACAAATTGTTGAAATGCAATGTAGCTCTGATGGATATAAGTGCTGCCCATACACATGGCGTCTAGCTTCTAGAGATACACTTTCGGCGGTGAGATGTGTTATATCAGCATATATGAATATTGTTAAATTTGTTACATCTCTTCTTCTATTCCGTTTCATATACGTTCCACCGCTTTATGAATGGTATTGCCAAAATATTTGAGCACAACTTCGCACAGTTCTCCTCCATTTTTCTTTAAATTTTTACGATTGTTCAAAGCGAAGCAAACGCCATTACATTTTCTCATATCCAAAAATTTACAAAGTGTAAAAATTCGCTGAAAATGGACAAGCAGGGTGCGTACAATCTCGTTTCAGTGGATAACAGTGGAAAACGATTATATATTTTTGCGAAATTGCTAACCTATAAAAGAAAAAAAATTATCGAACTTAAATTCGATATAAAATAGAAAATTCTAATAAATTTCGACTCAGTGAACAATGGCGCAATCAGGCCTAACTTGGAGTTTGCATACGTTTTCTCCATTTTCTCTAAATTTATATGCGAAGCGTGACAAACGATCTCATTTAAACTCACTTGCGTGATAAATTTGCAAACGAATGCGTTTTATAAAATCAATGAAAATGGAAAAGCCACGTTCTTAAATTTCGTGTCGTCATAGTCCAAAATGGCGGACATAACGGTATATTTTTATGGAATTGTTAGCTAATAAAAAGAAGAATTATAGAACGCAAAT